TTGTCTGATCTTTGCATGCCTAGGACTATTATTTTTTCCTTTTCTTTGCAACAATTCTCAGTCAGTCTTCTGACAACATACGGACCACAGGCTGGAAAACAATGTATAGACCAAGAAGCATCTGCTGCTGCTCAATACAGGCATGGGAATCCTCTCTTTGCATTCAGACACAAACTCTCCCAGTTGAGCCATAACACCACATGTGAGAAGCAGCAGATGGGAACAAACACCTGAAGTCCAACAGCTGGACAACCCCTACATACAAAACTCAATTGCATCCCTGAAGATCTGCGGTGTGGGAATGAGACCTAAAATCAGGATACAATCCTTGTCACTGCAAACTGGCAAACACTTTCTTCCACATGCAGTGGGCCGGCAGAGGTCTGAATGACCTTGCTGCTTTTACCATTATTCACATTTAATGGGAAACAAGTCTAGTCACATCAATAATCTTGCAATGAATCTGATACAGTTCCTCCCCTCCTCTCTGTCATACAGGGATATTTAAAGCTAGAGGGACAGCCACTGATACTGCTATTATCTCTGCCCACCAGTTCCCAGCTGGCTACTGTGGCCCCTAATCTGAGTTAATCAGCATGAGCTCATCCTTTCAGATGGGGCTTGCACCCCTGAGTATTGTTACCTTGCCCTCAATGTTATCATCTCCTGCCAGCCAGAAAGCTAAATGCAAAGACAGCTTCAACATCTCCAGGGGCATCGTGATACCCTGCTGTTTTTATGCTGGGAGGGGTGTTTGTTCAGCTCTGTGTTTTCAAAACAACAATTATCACAAGCAAAAATAAACTGGATTTGTTAGGGAGATCAAATGCATCAGGCCTTACGTGGTAGGACAAGGAGAAACAGGATTCAGTAAAACATCCTAGGACAAGGGAATGACATGGGGTAAGGGAGATCGCTTTGGAGGTCAAGTCTGTATGTCAACAAGCCAAAAAAGGGAGGGAAAGGTTGGGCTTGAGAGAGATGTAAGGGCAGCATGGGGAAAGAGAGGAGGAATAGAGTTTGAAGGTTGGAACTAGATGGACTTTGAGATCTGTTCCAACCCAAGCCATTCTATGAAATTGAAATTCTTTGGCCACTGATGGTGTCACAGGCAGATGGCAAGTCAATGCCAGCCTCAAAGCTGGTGTCTCCTTGGTTTATGAAAGAGAGATTACCTCCCAAAGTCTTATCAATCTCATCTGCTTTGGAGTAGTCATCAAGGACTTAAGTCCACCAAGGCCTCCTTCCTCCTAAATATCACATGCTGAGCACGCTATGATCCTCATCTCACTCGTGCATAATTTTGGTGATTCTTCTGCCCCTCAGATTTTCACAGGCTCCATGAAGTGGATCTGCTGCCACGGTCTCTTCTCTATCACAGTGACAGCAGTGAGGCGTCGAGGCCCTCCATGTCATCCCAATACCACGACTCTGGTCAACGGCATCACACTGGAAGTCAACTCTGGTCACCATATTCCTCTCTGAACACGAACCCACAGGAACCTTCTCTAGATCTGAGTGGTATCCTTGCATCAAGTCTCATTTGCCTTCATGAAAAAGGCATTTTTGGATGAGGTATACAAGGCTACTAAACAGTCCAGCCTCTGTCTTCTTATTCTTCTGCCCATGTGCGTTATGGACAAACGCTATCAGTTCCTGCAGATCTTCTTGCCTATATCATCCATGCAATTTGTTCACAATAGCTTTTTCTTCCCTCTGGCTCCCCTCCAAGATACAAACATACCCAAAATAATACAACTGCTGAGACAAGCAGCAGGAAAATCAAAAAGAGTGAAATGAAACACAGAGGTTTCAGGTAATATTTCAAGTAATATTCACAAATGAAATTCCTGCAGAAAGATCACCTTGGAGTCAAGAAAAACATTTATTTCTGAGAAAAAACAAGTTAAATGTATTCCCTCTCCCTCCCCTGCATGCCCACAGCTCAGAATCCTCACAAAATACAAACACATTTCAGGGGTAATATGAATATCACAACCAAGAACAAGGCAAATGGTTTAGTACCTACACCACAACTTTCACCATGTGTTACAGCTGCTGCAACACACCACACATGTCAAAAGCACATGGGAAAACTGACCAGAAGGTCTGCTCTTTTGAGAGAGCTCATTTTTACAGGACTAAGGGGTGAAGTACAGCAAGAGACTCCTAGAAGAATGAGGGAGATCAGGGAAGACTTACAGAAGAACAGCTCTGCGTCGCAGCGGTGTTAGGGTTTTCCTCACTTAACTTTATTGGTATGAAATCACAAATTTCTGAAAATTTCCACATAAGAAAAAAAACCAAACAAACAGAAATAACATCCACAACCAAACAAAACCAAACCTACCACCACCCCACATCCTGAATCCTCTTTAGCACAGCTTTCATGTCAGATGCTTAAAGAGAAAACCCATTGTAAGACTAGGAAAAGTCCAAAAGTTTATGACACCACATTAGGTCCCCCCAGACATAGCCATTATACTCAATGCTTTTGCAAGGTTGAGGTGCTCTCTTTTTCTTGAAACATCCTCAGTGGTTTCCCAAGTACAGCCAGCCCTTCGGATAACTGAGAACCTCTTCAACCAGACACCACATGGGGGTAAATTGAAGATGTCCAAAGGACTGAATTGCTGAAGGCACAGGGAACAGTAAGAGAGATTTTTTATTTTTATGGGGAGATGGGCTGGAATTTGTGGTCCTCAGAACACTAAGCTACAGGAGAATAAAGAGCTCTCTGTTCCTGAAGTCTGCCAACAACGTGAGTTGATAGTTTATACTTTCTTCCATGCTAATTTAATTATATCAATGAAAAATGACAGTTTCTTCTGAAGTAACCATTTGCATCATAAACATAACTGTGGATGCAATTTGATTGCAAACTAAATCGCCCTTTGCCAGCTTGGATTTTGTCTTCTCTCCTCAGAGGAAGAGTAGAATCATTTAGGTTGGAAAGACCTTCAAGATGCCCAAGGCCCAACCATCCAACCACCACTGCAAGCCCACCACTAAACCACCTTCTTAAGCACCACATCCACATGTCTCTTAAAGACTTCTAGGAACCTTTGCCCCCGTTAAATCTCCTTTATATTGCTGGAAGGGCACATCACACTGTGCACAGGCCTTGTGGAAAATTTGAGTGATAGCGTGCCTTCATAAACAAAATGGCCACCGTAGTCCTGAGGCCTTTCAGACTACAAGCAGCGTTTGGTGCAAGGAAACACACTGCTCCAGCAATGGAAAAGCATGGGTTTCCTAATGAAAAGAACAGCATGCCCAGCTACCAGCCAAACTGGGGTCTTCAGCAGGAACTTCTTGCCATGTTTTTCAGGTGATCCTGATAACATCACAAGGAAGAGGCGAGCGTCTCAGAACTCACAGAAGACAGAGATATTAAAGAGTACCAAATAAAATCCATCCAAATGGGGGAGGGAGGCAATAACAGGAGGCTTAAGATGATTAGAAGATTCTGAAAAGAGGAGAATCTGGGCCAACAACACAGAATTCTCCTCTACTTCAGGAAGAGGTCATCAATGGGAAGAGGAAAGCAAGGTGCAGAGAGAGCAGCAGGCCGCACCGTGCTGCAGAGAGGTACACCTGTGAACGTATAAGTAATGGGCATTTTTAAGAGATCCCACCCTACATTTGGTAACACTTCAGGACCTAATTGAACAACATGAACGTCTACACTCAGAGGGTGGTGAGGCACTGGAACAGGTTGCCCAAGGAGGCTGTGGATGCCCCATCCCTGCAGGCATTCAAGGCCAGGCTGGATGTGGCTCTGGGCAGCCTGGGCTGCTGGTTGGTGACCTGCACACAGCAGGGGTTTGGAACTGGATGAGCATTGTGCTTCTTTGCAACCCAGGCCATGCTATGACACACAGACCCATCAGAAAACATCAGTTCCAGCCACGGACTAAGACACACCAGAGGCTATGGATATTCTACCAAATCAAACATGCTTCTGGACCTGAGGTCAAAACCCTGGAGCAGTACAGGTGGTGCTACTGAACATGTGCCCTGAGACAAGCTGCATATTAGGCTCCGAAGGGCACTCTGTCAGATCTGTTGAATATTGAATTTATTTTCCTAGTTGTCAGCATCCTTCAAAGCCAAAAGGAGCCAGATGCAGTTCTGTGGCTATCCCACTTCAGGACGTTGTTTTTTGTTTTGTTTTGTTTTGTTTTTTTAAAAACTCCTACACATTCTAACTTGCCTCACACTGCTCTCTAAAGAAGAGCCTCTTGGCTACGTGATTCACTTTCTCCTCAATGACAAAGTCTCAGCAAGATAGCAGCCCAACCTTGAAACACGTAGAGACAGCACCCTGTGCTTTTAGGGGATAGACCCTCATGCAGCATATGCAGAATGGACAGTGTGGCCTATTCAACCAGGCTTTCAGGGATTTCGCAGAGAAATTTTCCTGGGATATCAGCTCTGAGGTTTCAAACTCAGCTGTCCACTCTAGTAGAACTAACTGCTCACAGGCATCAACGACTGTTTGGGCAAGCATGGTTTGACACAGGGCTCTATGGACCTAAATGCATAGATATCTGAGAGCTGAAGAATTGAATCCTGTAAATGTAGTTGTATCTGTAACAGCCCTGGGTGTCAGGGAGAAGCAAATACATGCCCTTGTACCAACAGTACAGAAGCCCATGATCTACATCCATGTAAGGAATAAGTTACTTTACAATAAGGGCAGTGAGGACAGGGCTCTGAGCACTGATGGAGCTGTGGGTGTCCCTGTTCATTGCAGGTAGTGGGACCAGATGGCCTTCAGGAGTTCCTCTCAAACCATTCTATAATTCAGGGAAACATAAAAGAAGTCAAACTCAGCAGGTCCAGGGGTTGCAACCCTGCTTAAATCTGGCGGTGGCAAGGTCTGCAATGCAGCTTTCACACAGCCCAGCACTCTTTCATCCTCTCACCTCTCAGCATCAAAACCACTGGCATCATCAGACCCAGAAAAAAAAAACAACAAACCAAAACACAGGTTGCTCGGGGCCTGCTGGGAGCACGTCTTCAGTGGCTTATGTTGCCCTTCCCCGCAGAGAGACTGCTGTCTGTCCGCACACATACCACTGACTCAAGGGGAGGATCTGAATGGGAGAAAGATGCTGTCAGAGCCCCACGGTCATCTGTTCATGTGCTGCAGGATGGTGACACAGCCATGGTAGCTGGTACAGCGCTGCAGCGGGGGCTGCTGCTCCACACTCCCCGTTATAGGGTCAAAAGTGAATGCTTTGTCTGTGCCTTCCCCATTCTCATCTCGGCCACCCAGGATGTAAATCTTCCCTCCGCACACCGTCAGGCCGCAGCTCTCCTGGAAAGCAGAAGGAAAGGCTGAGAGATGAGGAATTGGCCCCACAGCTTTGGACAGTGGGACTGAGCAGGAGTCTGCTATGTGCTCAGCCCTCACCTGTCCTGCATGGGGGGAAATAAGCAGGATGAGTAGGGCATGGCTCTTGGGATACTTCAGTATGATGGTTTCAGGCACCTGAAGAACCTCAAGCTAGATGTCAGCTCCCCAGTATATTTTCTGCACATTTAATCTCAGCAAAGTGCAGATGGGTTCATTTATTCTATGGAGAGAGAAGGCTCAGAGCTTCTCTCCTCATATTAGGAAAAGTTCTCACGTGAATATTAGGGAAAATTTCTTCGCAGGCACTGGAGCAGGCTGCCCAGAGAGGTGGTGGAGTCCCTGGAGGTGGTCAAGAGAAGGGCTGATGTCACAGTGGGTGACATGGCCTAGAGTGGGCATAGGTATGGGTTGATGGTTGGACTGGACGACCTTATGACCTTATTGGCCTTTCCCTCCTTAACAATTCTATGATTCCTAAATCTTTCTCTTACCAGAGGCCCAGGGAGGGCAGCCACTTCTTGCCAGCTGTCTTTCCTTGGATCATAGCTGAAGATTTTACTGAGGAGCCCACCTACAACATAAATGATGTTGTCCAAGCAGACGGCACTGATGCACCTCTGGTAGAAAGGAGTGGGAGACAAGAGTGTCCACTTGTTGTCTTCTGGATCATAGCATTGGACCTGGAAGGAGAAATGCAGCTATGGGAACATAAATTTACCTCATCTCCTTGCTTGGATGGAGATGATATCCACTAGAAATAAAAGAAAATTAGTCCAGAAACAAGGGTGGGAGCTTCAACACTCAGAGGCCAGTGCAATGATCAAAGAGACATTCCTTCATCAGCTGGCTGGGGTCTTGGGCAGTTCTTTTGAGGGTCTATGCCTTCAGCTCTCACAGACAAATTACCAGCTGGTCCTAACCAACACAGTACATGGTTAAATATTCTGGTATTGAGCTGGGAGCCCACCTCCCAGCCATCCTCACCCCCTTGCACCAACCATACCTTGTCAGTGTTAGCAGTGTCATCCACAGCACCACCCAGCACGTAAAGCTTGTTCAAGCAAGAGACCACGGCTGCCGAGCTCACAGCTTGTGGCAGCGGAGCCAAGGTGGACCAGCTGTTGGAGAAGGTGTCATAGCACTCCACACTGGAGAGGCGGTAGAAACCATCAAAGCCTCCCACGGCGTAGATCTGCCACAAAAAGAGCAAAGCAAGCCAGTTAGAATGTCCTGGACTCACCAGCTGGGCTATACACTATCATAGTGTACTAGAGCTGACACTTGTCCAGCCACAGTGATGTTTTCTTGTTAAATCCATCATGCGTCAGGGTTTGAAACACCCTGCACTGCATAGTTTTCACCCAAAGACTCAACACAGTCATCTTGCAAAAGTCTCTTGGCACCCCATGGTAGATCTTATTGCCACAGGTTCATTTGTGGCAAACTTGGGCAGCAAAAAAAACATTAGCTAGAGCTAATAGTACCATGATTATGTCCTGGTCTCTAAATGACTGATAACAAACAACTGACAATGTCTCATTACACTGGGAATTGGGAAAAAGGGAAGACTGTTCCAATTGGGCTTGTTTCAAAACCTACCTTGCCCTGAAGCGTTGCCATTTTGTGCCTCCATCGGCCTTTCTGCAGACAAGCAACCTTGATCCAGACATTCAGCTGGGAGCTCAGCACCCAAACATCATTGCTGCTGATGTGTCCCCCTGAAAAACAGAGGAATGGAAGGCTGGTACAATCCCAAAGACAGTCCCATCACCCTGGCACACTGCTATTTTATACGGGTCCTCCATGCAGCAGAACAATCTAGGCCAGAATGTGGCTGTTGGGTTACTCTCATGTAAACTCAGCTTCCCATGGAAGATGCCCTCTGAATTTCAAGGCACTTATTACACAACTCAATCCCTTCCACGGAGCTCTTCTTTTTGTATTCTTTGTATTTTAAGTGAAGGATGGGCAGATGGTGATGTGATAGGAAACCCTGAAAGTGCACATCAAAACCAACTCATTCCACTGCAAAAGGATGGATACCCAGATAAGCAGGAAGGAAAGTTTTTCCAATAGTGCCATCCTCCCCAGAACAATAAAATTGTTTCCTGGGACAAAATCCAGGGTAAACTTCAGCAAGAAGTGACCTTGTTCTGGAGCTGAGATGCAGGTCAGTGAGTCCCAATGAATCGACCCCAGGAGCAGTTATCTGAACTGAGCTCCAGGTAGGGATTACAGCTTTCTCAGAACACCTCACCTGATATGTAGACATCATTCTTCAGCGTGCAAGCAGCAAACTCTGACTTGGTGTAGCCAGGCACACTGGAGAGAGCCGTCCACTGCCTGCTCTTTGGGTGATAGAGATCGGTGAAGGGCAGCTTCAGAAGTCCTTTCTTATCACAGCCCCCAATGATGATGATAACTTCTGCCATCTCCATGAACCTAGATCATGAAAGGCATGGGTAAGTCCCTAAGTCCCAATCCCATTTAGGATACTGGCAGCACATCCCAGCGGGTAGGGAAGGCTCCTTTCTGTCACCAACTACCAGTTTTCTAGGCAAATCATTTCGCCCATGCACCTTCCCTCTTGTCTGCACATTCAAATCTCTCAGCTTGAGTGGGAAAAGGTCCAAACTTTGTAGGGAAAGAAAATTGAGAGCAACCTTTGAAAGTCCTTTGTGAGATTGCCCACTGCCCCTCACCCTGTCCCTTCCTGCACAATAAAGCCTAATACTTAACACACGGCTGCAAGAATGGAAAGCTGCTCCTGGCAGTCAGCCTGCAACGTGCTCCCTGCCTGGAGAGAGAAGTGTTTCCAGGAAATCTCATTCTCTCCAGCCCTAACAGCAGAAAGCAGACAAGACAGATGGCTGGGCAGGAAAATCTTGCCAAGAAGTAGGTGGCAAGAGAGGAACAGCTCTGCAGGAAGAGAAGAGAGGAAGGAAGAGGGCAGAATGGGATTTGAAAGGCTTAGTGCCATCCCCAGCTCTGAATCCATTTGTGCAGCCTGAGACAGTTCACTTTAGACCTAAACTGTAAAAGGAGGGGAGTTAAAATGGGAATGCTGGGAGTGGGATTTAATCTGTGCACTTGGAGAGGGCACCACAGACTGGTACTGAGCAGTTCTTTGTGTAGTGGCCTGTTTTCACAATCAGCACAGAGAAAACAAGTCCAAGCCTCACATCAGACTGAGAGGGCTTAAACCATCCCTGGAGGTTTAAAAACAAAACAAAAAAAACAGGCTCATGTCATGCAACATGGTTTAGAGCAGTCACAGGCATGGGCTGATGGTTGGACTAGATGACTGCAGAGGTCTTCCCAACCTTAACTATTCAACGATTCCACATCCCCATTCTTCTACCCAAGCTGCTCCACTAAGAGGCAAAAATAAACTGGATTCCTTGGTCCAAAGTGCAGAAGAACACAATAATTTGTCCCCACAGCCATCATTCTCCTCTAGAGAAGCACAGGAAGCCTAACAAACCACCTGGCTTAATACAGCAAACCATCTTAGAGCAGAGGTGTTCTCAATGGAGTTGTTCATACCTCCATTGGTGCGCTTACCAAGCACGTGCTGAGTGTACCAGTATGACCATGAAGGAGTAACAGAGGCTAAAAATATATCTGTCTAAGTCTAGAAAATCCATATGTCAAAATCACGGAAAGGTGCATATTCCCGTACATTCCCATCCCCAGAAATTGGTTTTCCTTTATATTTTCCACTTCATACTGCCAGCTGCCTGGGTTGGAATTTCTTTATCTTCACGTCAATCAATGAATCGCAGGTACAAAATTAAGAATTTGGGGTGCCTCAGTAGCTACTTGGACTGCAACTCCCTTTTTTTCCTGGACATTAATTACTGACCCAGCAGCTATGCCTTTGAGCTAGGCAGCATGCTGATAGCTAGAAGGCTAAAGTGAAGTAAAAGGAAAAAAAGAAAAGTAATTATAGAATGGTTGGATTGGAATGAACCTTAAAGCTCACTCAAACCCAACCCCTGCCATGGGCTGGGTGTCTGCCACCAGCTCAGGGTGTCCAGGGCTCCCATCGATGGCCTTGGACACCTCCAGGGATGGGGCACTACAGCTTTGGGCAACAGTGCTGGGGAAATAATTCCCTCTGGGGAAGTAATTTCCTCCTCATATCTGACACAAATCTCCCTTCTTTTAGTTTAAAATAGTGATTATAAATAATAAAATTGTTTAGAACTGTTACTACAAGTAGCAATGGTTTAGTGGGCATGGTGAGGACGGGTTGATGGTTGGGCTAGATTGTCTTGGAGGACTTTTCCAACCTTCACGTTTCTCTGATAAGAATCAAAGAACTTTGGACCAAGGAATCCATCCAAGCTTTAAGATACAAGAACTTGGACCATGCAGGTCTAGGGAAGATGCCATTGTGTTTTACCTTCTGGGCCTCGATCTCAAAGAGCTGACCTCGTTCCCAAGGATGTAGTACTTGCGGGCTTCGTGCAGCAGAGGGATGCACTCCTTTGAGTCCTGGATGAGCCCATCCATTTCCACCTTCTCCAGGAAGTAGGTGGGGTTGAGCAATGGCAGACGGACGTGCTCAAGGAGATCCTTCAAGGCTCCCTTCCGGGCAGGAACGTCGTGTCGTACCCAACGCATGACTGCTTCAAAGACCACCTCCTCCTTGGGGACCACCAGCTGCTCATCAGACAAATACTCAACCAGTTCCTTCACACCCATCTCTAGGAACTCTTCATGGCATGACACCTCCACGAAACACTCCAGCATGAACCTCTTGCTTTTTTCTGTCAGGGAAGTGATGGAGAATGAATCAGCAAACTTCATGATACCTAAACAATTGCAGGGGTGAAGCTGGCCTTCAAGAAAGCTGATGCAAGCATCCCTAAGCTTGGAGATCTGCAGCAAGTCAGACAGTTCCAAGATGCCTTCAACATTGTCTTCCTGAATGACAATGCTCCCCCCATACATATAGTCAAGAAGGAGAGACATGGTGGAAGCAGAAATCTTCTGGATGTTGATGATATTCTGGTGGCTTTCCTTGAGATTGCCACCAAACATCGCCCGGAAATAAGTGCTGTTGGCTGACAAAGTAGCACGGTGGCAGGGGAATTCTTGCCCATCAATTAACAACACCACATCTGTGAAGATGCCACCACGCCGGTAGGCGTTCAGTGTCTGGAGGATTTGCTCAGCATGGCAAGACCCATTGCAAAGCTTCACATGCAGCTGCTCTTTGCTTGTGTCGCGCATTGCATTTTCCAGGTTACTTGTCCTGTAGCTTGATTCTTCTTTCATCATTCGATGCATCCTGGTTGGGAAGCAGTGAATGAGACGACAGATCAGAATGTTAATTAAAATATCTGACCACAGTGTCCAACAGCACTGTGGTTTCTGCATCTTTCTTGGTGACATCAGGCAGTAAAGATTCCAGCCAAAACCTAGACAGATTTTACCCTCATCCAGAGGAGTTCATCCTCCATAACCAGCATTTTCTCAAAAACAAAAGCCAGATGTAGCCTCCAGGATATTCCCAACGCAACCCCATCCCAGCACACCAAACTCTTTTGCTTTCAGATATTTCTTTATAAGACAGTTGCCTTACCCAGACTATGCTTTATCAGCAACTCCCACACTGTTTCCTTTCTTTCTAACATCTCAAAGCTCCTGTTAAGCTAATTTCCCCACCGAGCCAAATTCAAACCATCCATGGTGCACCACTTACTTCTTCCCAAGAACCCGTCCCAACCAATTGCTGCTGCACAGACACAAGTCCTGGGAGGAACCGAACCTAGGTCTCCCCCTGCTTGCCCAACTGTTGTATCAGTTGAGTGTTAAATAAGAGACATAGCAAAGCCAACGCTTCTTTTTTAAGAGCACAGCACCAAGCGTTCAGGTGGGATGTCAGTGAGGGCAATTCTGCTCCTGCCATGGGGGTATTGCAGAGACCTGAGGAGCAGTGAGGCAGAGCAAAAAGTCCTACAAAAATCCCTAAGCAACCCTGGGGGAACGGGTGGAGGTTCCAGACATCCCAGATGGCACTGAGAAGTGCTCAGGCTGCAGGAGGGGAATGCTGTCAGTTCAAAGTGATTTAGAGAACTTACAACAAAGGCAGTGTGGTGAACTCTGCATTTTGCTGGCACGCGCAGCTCCAGCCAAAGAACACAAACACCCCCATTTCATCACTTCTCAACCTGATCTATGTGAATTTCCAAGCCCCTGGTGACAGTAAGCTTGTAAAGAGAGACCTCCCCTGGATAAACCCAAAGTTCTTTCAGATTTTACCCTCATCCAGAGGAGTTCATCCTCCATAACCAACATTTTCTCAAAAACAAAATCTATGATCTCATCTACCTATGATACCAACTCTGAGAAGAGAGTGGGATTCTCCCATTGCCCTTACCCATGCACACTCCTTTCTACATCACTCCCTCCATCCCAACATTTCTAAACTCTGTATATGTAGGGAAAAAGCTCTCCCAGCTATTAGCACAAGAATCTCAACATTACCTGGCCCAAAGGTTGAGTCCTCCAGATGGGACCTAATGAACACAGCGTCCTTTGTGGAGATCTCCCATCCACGCCGGGGTTTTGTGCAGAGATGAGTCCCCTCCACTAAGCACGCCCAGCCCGTCTCTGGCAATGCTTGGGGAAGCACAAAAGCATTGCCTTTATGTTCTCTGCTGAAGAGGTGGGGGAGAAATCTGCTTTTGTTTCTCCGCCCGGAGAGCTACAGGGCATTAGCCATGCAGCTGTCAATAACAGCCAGCCTGGGAGGAGCCAGGGAAAACTCATCGAGGATCGGGGAAAATAGAGCACACCAGGACAGCTTATGAGGGACGAGCCATCTGGAGAGCAAATTGGGGTCCAGGTGGAATAATTTATTTGATAGAGACTCCAGCTCGCTGGAAACCACACTAAATCCAATAAATAGAATACAGCTCTGCGAGCAAAATAGGGCACCCGTAACACGGATAGATTGGGTCAGGCAGAATACACGGTGCCCCTCGTTAATGCGTGATAATTAGGTAATTAGATCCACAAGGACAGACAGGAAGGTTTGCCCAGTGTGGCTCTCACCAGCCTCCCTCCCAACTCAATCCCATTGCTGGCTAAAGCTCATAGCAGGGAGCATAGCAGCCCTGAGTTGGATCCATGAAGTAACTATCAACCTCAACATTGAAAAAACCCTTGATGAAATGCAGCCCATTCCCTTGCCCAGCATCACTTTGTATTATTTCATTCTAAGCAGAAGTGCAAAGAACGACCAACCCTGCATGTTGCTATCCCAGTAAAGTCATCTTTCCTTGGAGCACCACCACTGTGTTTTCCACATGGATCCCTTCTGCTCCTCTCCCATCAGTGGGATGCAGGGCACAAGCTGGCATCCTGTTCATTGCCAACATTTGCATATAAATTGGCAACGACCTGGAAAGGACTGTGGTTTCCCAGCCTCTTCTGTGGGCTCAGAGGGCTGGGGAATTTGGTCTTAGGACCTTCCATCCCCAATTGAGTTGGCTCTGCTGGCTCCATCCAGGATGGGTGGGTGGAGAGGGTCATCAGGACAATGAGCAGCACAGCACCAATCCTTCCCTTTGGGACAAACAGATCTCCCGAGTACAGGAAACCCTTCACTGAAGTTGCAAAGCTATTGACACCTTGCCAACCAACCTGAAAGCAAACCCAGCTTCCATCAAGGCATGCAGTTTGTTGGTAAGTAAGTTGTTGTAAATGCACCAAGTGACTTTGAAGGGAAGACTTTCTGGGTTGCAGCTGACCCTGTGTTCAAGCCAGGACATCTATTAGCACATTTTCACAGGCAGCCTGTACTGTGCTTAGCCATGGATCTATTCCTGTGATGTCACTGTGCCCCAACACGGCTGTCACTGTGTGAAGGCTGTGTTACAGCCCATGCTTATGGTCAAATTGCATGAAACTGAGGGCATTAAATACCCCAGAGGTCTGCAAAAGGACACTGGTGTGACTGATAGGCAGCACTGCAGGAAGAACACCCAGTGCAGGGGCAAGAGTTCATCCTCTCATTTGCTCCCAGTGCCCTGGGTCTCCTCCCAGGGTAGATGCAGACACCAGAAACAGTGAGCTGGGAGCCCTATTCCACTGTAAAATATCTTTTTCACATGAAAGATAATCAACCCAAGGCATGTGGTCTACAGGAGCCATCAAGCACAAAACCACATGTATTAAAAAGATGCAAAAGGGAAATAAATGAGGGCTTTGTGAATGAGGAATGAAAGGAACAGCAGAGTAATTGTGTCAGAAAGAGAAAGAAATAGTAAGGGGAAGGGGTGCAGTTAAGGTAAAAAGAAATCAAGTAGAAAACAGGAAAGGCTAGAGAGCTTTGGATAAATCAGATAATGGAGATCATAGGGAGAGAGATCACTAGGACATGACCACACCACCATAGAATCAAGAAGGTTGGAAAAGATTACTCAGACCCAACCCCAACCCAACCCCAGCCCACCATGCCCACTGCCCACATCCCTCAGTGCCACGTCCCCACAGTTCTGGAACACCTCCAGGGATGGTGACCCCCTCCCCCCCACTCCCTGGGCAGCCCATTCCAGTGCCTGACTGCTCTTTGGAGAAGAAATTATCCCTAATATCCAACCTGAACCTTGGTCCAGGTACGGGTTGTACCCATTGGTCTCACCATTGTGCACCCAATGGATGGAAGAGCGTCCTACCCAGGACAGCAGTCTGCATGCTCCTGGCAGCAATGCCCAGGGCTTCATCTGGCTACAGAGAGTCAGGAGACTCTTCCTGCCCTCAGCCAATTAGTGGCAGTGAAGGGCAGTCACCCACATCCAGAAGAAGAGACCAAAGCAGAAGAGTGAAGATGAGGAGGACAGATGGGAGCAGAAACAGAGTCCAGGAAGAGGAGAGAGAGAAAACATGAGAAGCTTAGGAGGAAAAACATAAGGTTCCTATTGCACCCATGGTCACTCCCTGCTTGGTCCAGCCAAGCAGATGTTGCCTCTCACCAAGAGCAGCCTTCAGCCCCATGTCACTGCTGCCACTCACAGCACAGCTGGACTTTCCATGCCCAGTTTTGCAAGCTCTGAGCCACTGCATCATATGAAGGCTTTATCAGGGATGCAAGAGATGCTTTGTATGGCAGGTTACTGTAGACCTATGACACGGCTACGTCAGCATCACCTCCCAGACCACGGGACTGCAACTCTACCAATAAAGTGATTGTGCCAGCATGGTTCCCAGGTACTATGAGAGCTATGACAGCTGTGCCACTAAGCTTCTATGAATAAGGGCAGTTTTAGAGAAGAAAGAGTTAAATAGCACAACGTTGGCTGTCCCAAGCCCTTTGGGCTTACAGCCAGCAGCCAATTCTCAGCTCTTTTATTTGAATAACAGACACAGGCTACATGACTCTTATTTCTCTCCCTTCAACTTTTTAGTGTCTCTCCCAGGGGCACAGCAATCACAGCCTCCCGTTATGGATTATTCAGTACTGTGGAAATCAGGAGCTCTCCCTCTTCCCCTTAGGGCAGTTTTTATTTTTGACACTCAAATGGTATTCCCTCAGCCAGTCAAATCCTTGACACAGTACTGACTATCCGTCACCAACCAATGGGATACCGTCGTGTTTTCTTTAATCCCTTTCATCTGTCCCTTAATGCAGCCATTCATGAACTGGAGAAAACAGCTGCTTAACAAAGAAGAATCCCAGGCTGGCCCAGACGAGATCCTCTCCTAACCCAAAGCACCCTCTGTCTGCAGCAGGGAGCAGATCCTGGGCTGAAGAATAAGAAATAGAGCAGATGCCATGCAAGCCCTTCCTTTAATGCACACTTTCAGCAAAGAACTGCTCAGGGACTTCTCAAGCTGGATCTTACATCCAGGCTGTTGTGTTTAATAAGCGCTAATGGACATAAGAGCCAATTATTCCTCTTCAAACATACTTACGTTTTTCGGTCTTCACAGCACCCTGGGGCAATGATGTGCACAGTATGTATTAGAAATGAATTGCTTCCTGTTTGTTTGGCTTAAAACTGCTGCCAGATCAGTGATACTGGTGCATCATTATCCCCATGTGGCCACAAGCACCAAGTATTTATTTGGCAGTTATAACTCAAGACTTGGGTCTGCAGAGTCGCACCCTCTCCACTTGACTACTTGTCAACTGCTGTTGGATAAAATGTGGATGGGAGAGAGGATGCAGCACTGATCTCAGACAGGAGGATCTCCAAGCCTTCTTCTGGTCATAGAATCATTAATGTTGGAAAAGACCTTCAAGGTCCCCAAGCCCAACCCTACCCA